ACCCCATATTATCTATTATAAACTTTAGTGTTGTACTGAAAAAATGTTTTAGGTTAAATTTTTAAAACAGCATCTCACCAAAAACAGTATTCAATGATTGAATCTATCACCTTCATGCCAAAACCTAGCTGCATTTTTCATTTCTTTCAAGGGGTGCTCATGAGTAAACACGAATTAAGGAAAATAGTCCAGGCTTTGAGGTCACAAGGCATGAGTTCAAGTGCCTGCTCTATCATCTAGTACATTGTGCTGATATTTTATCTTGACCTTGGTTTTTCTCATGTATAAAATAGTGTACAGTTGCATCACATTATTGCTATAAGAATCAAATTAAAAATGGAGTGAGCATATTCTGCAACCTATGAAGCAACATGAGTATATCAGTCATTACCACTAGGGAAGAGAGGAGATAAGCACACTTTTTGCAAACTGAGTAATAGGAGGCCAGCAAGATTAAAATATAATAAACCTTGACCAAAAAAATCCTCACATAAGGGCAAGGGAAAGACCCTGCTCACTTCCCTTACTCTGATATTCCTACATCAGAATTGCCTGGGACACCCTTAAAAATACATATTTCTGGGTTCCACTTTATACTTACTGGGTCAAAATTGCTGGGAGTAAGGAACAGAAATTTGAGTTTTAAAGAAAGCTGCTTGGTTGACTCCGATGTAGCCAATAGCACTAGTCAGTGGGTGTTCTTTCGGTAACAATCACTTTGACCTTAACACCTCTCACTGAGAAACAAGCTACCCTAGGCTCTGGTGCTCAGACTAAACCTGGCTTTGGTCTTGAGCAAAGATAATGGATCTCCCATAATATGTGGGGATGCAGAAAAGTTCAAAATACCTTCCAAATAAGCATTTAGTATTGAGAGCACGTCTTCTATCATCGTTCTTCTTCTTTTCCTGGGCACCTTTATGGTGTCAGGATTCTGACTGGCCCTGAGATTATCTTCGGTTATTACATATCTTGGTAATGCAAATGTGTATTGCTTAATTTCAGTCAATGTCCCTCAAAAAAAACTAAATCATCCAGTGTTGCATGCTGGTAGCTTGCCTTGGATAGCCTGTCAGAGCTGTGTGGCCTGATGCCCATGGGAACTTTATATCTATGTGGGATCATCATCATTTGAAAATCAAGAAGTGGGAAGAAAAGCAGCAGGATCAATATACGTCAGCTCTTTGTGCCATTTGGGGTGGTTAAAGCAGAAGAGCAAAGAAAGACTAGAATTGGATGGAATTTCCATCTCCTATATCTATCATCTGAACCTGCATCAGACTCTATTCTTCTATCTACAAGGAGAGAAGTTTCCTTTTCTCTGTCTTGAAGATGTCAAATCCACCTATGAGTTACTTTTTGGAAGTTATTTTGAAATCCTGTATCAAAAGACACCCCATGAATATAATTAAATCTCTTATTGTATGGTTCATTATTCTACAAATTTGGACCAGATGTTGCAAAAGTGCCTCTAAGGGCCAGGCAGAGAAATTCATTAAGGGAGAAGAGCTTGGAAACTGGTGAATGAGTGCCCCGTCTGAATGGGGCAGTTACCAATTGTGGCCATATTTGAATGTGGCCC